ACTGTAGAATTCACCAAACCAAATTCGCGGCATACATCAGCTTTTTTTCTTCCATTTAATATTTCACGAATCACTTTAACTTTCTCTTCAATGCTTAAAACTTTCCTTTTCATTGCCATGTTTTTGCTACTGCACTTCTCTGGGTTTAGGCAGGAACACTATAGGGTAAGTAGACAATGTGATGTCCTGTTAGACGAGATTCTAGGAAAGGAATGCAGTTAACAACCTGCCGCATCCTCTTGCACTATTCAGCAGTCCCACCCCACACCCTTGTTTACGCATAAAACCCACGCTCCTCTTGCAGCCCGTGGTCGTATTCTTCCGGGACAGTCATGTCAGCAAGTAGAGAAAGTGAGGGTGGGCAGACACATCGAACTTTCCCACGATATCAGAGAAATTCAGGAATGAAAATGACGTTACATACGAGGTTGATGCATTTGTGCATGTCGTACTAAGCAAGGTATAAAAACGGTTGCTTTATGAGGAATTAGTTCTTACCATTGAATATTTGACGCAATAGACAAGGTGTCGCAGAAACCGATGTTGCTATAACCAAGTTTTACTGTATATATATATGGATACACACACATATTACTATTAGTTTAAAATATACTTTAGAGAGTGTTCTACTGCACTGTTTTTCGATCTCTCTGCCCCATAGTATTCTTGTCATAAGTGAACATATGTTAGAACAATCTGTATTCTTCTGTTGACCTCTCATCAGTTTTTCTTGTATTTATTTCAGTTCCCGAAAACATAAATCTGTCTACCAGTTTAGCCAATGTGTCATTAACTTTTACTCTTGATATGTGTCTAGTTTCCTAGGTAAAGCACACAGACCCAAATCTCTACTGTCACCTCCCTCATATCACACTTATATAAATTACCACTGGCACCCAAGACTCTAGTTTCACTGCACCTTACCTTTAAAATGGGGGAACTACAAAGTCCTTTACATCCACAAAAACAGTTAACAAGCCACCACCAATCCTTAGTTGTATTTTAGCATCCTGTTGCACTGATTCATATTCATAATGTGTATGTATTAACAGTCTTCAAGTGCATACAGTCCCATCTATCACTTCCACACTACATGTTTCAGCAGTATGCTGCCATCTTCAGGTGTATCGATCTGTCAACTATTTTACTGGTTGCTTTTATATGTCCATTTACAAATAATATTAAATTTGTATATGTCCTTATATAATAGTAAAGTTTATGTATTTAAAACTTGTTAAAACCTATTATGTCATACGTCATATTTTAAATTCGTGTGTATTATTGATCATCCATATGGGGGTCGTTCTTCTTATGTTTCTAATGTTGTGTGTATATTATGTCTTATGATGTGTTCTACTCTTGTGGCTGCATGCATTATAACGTTGGATGTGTGTGGATTTTGATTTCATTCCCACCATGTTTAGACTGGCACCCTGAAGGAAAAGCAGCAAGTCCACTAGAAAGTTGTGCAGGAATACATGTATTTTAAAGACTATATCTGAGTAAAAAGGGAATGGAAAAATTAGGCAATTGGGTCTTCAGCATAGCATTAATCATTGGAATTCTCTGTTTGTACAATCTATAACTGATTAAGACATCAATTGCATTCTTCTACAACACATACAACAGTTCAAGTAAATTAACTCACTCCTAACAGCTTCAATAATGTTCGGCAATATATCAATGGAAGGTCTTCCAAAGAGGGTTTCAGTGACATAAGAATCCAAGTTTTCTTGTATCTTGCTGGCTGCATGTAATATGGCAGCCAGAGCTATCTGTGATGGTGCATACAGGAGGCATGCATCTGTGAGGAATGTACGCTCCAGCAGCTCTTCAATCCCAGGAAGCAAGCGATCTGGATCTTTCAGTGAACATCGAGTCTGTGGAACAAAATGAAGGAACATGAAATGAAACCTATTCAAATATAACTCAAATCAAACTTTGCAATTTCCTCAAAAATAGCTCATCATAAAAAAAATGCTATACGACAAAGTACAGAGATGAGGAACAGAAATGTGTATACAAAAAAGGTTGAAATGGACAGAAGGAAAACTTTAAAATCAAGCAATACAGAATGCCCAAAGCTGACTATTCACTACTTCTTCAAGAAGGTCATCATTAAAAATTGATATGTCACAATGTTTCTGGAAATCCATACAGATAATTAAAAAAAGAAAAAAGAAAATATTAAAATAAAGAATTAGAAAAATTCTTTTGAGCATGACTGTCTATTGTCTTTTCCGAGAAGGCCATTAATAAAATGTTCATATCCACACTGGAGTGTACAAACAAACCAGGATGTGACATGATCACTCCCACTGTACACATCAGGCTGCAACCCCCCCCCCCCAAAAGTGCCGATTAAAATAAACATAATTGTTTCCTATGCATCAGTATATGTCTGAGTAGGACTTCATAAAAGTGATAGCATTACATGAATGACAACAATATCTGTGTTTACAATTGTTAGCATCAACTGTATTAACATTCCATGGAAGACCTTGGCTGATCTTGTTCATGTACGTACCTTAATGTCGACGAGTAGACCAGTGACAGGTCGATACGGATTGTGCACTGTGAGATGAAAGTTGAGTTGTTGCATCAGCAGCAGCTCATCATTCAGAATTATATCTGATGCCTTCTCTCGATCACCCTTGATGTTTGCTACAAACTGCTGTATTGAAATGTTGAACTCCTCTACCTTACAGGCTAAGTAAACACATGTGACCCTGTAATAACAATACTGCATTCTAACACACATGTACTCTTCACTACATGTAAATGTTGTCCCTGTGCTTAACTAATTAAGTACTATGCCATGAAGGTGTATGGGGGAGTGGATGTAGAGAACCACATTTTCTTGACCCCAGGACTAGTTGAAGGTGAGTGGTCAGCTTCATGCCCCAGCCGCTTTACACCCAGTGAAAAAGCCCTGTGCCCATTGGATAGGATGTTGGGTTGATCCAAGAGCTGGTCAGGATGCAGAGAAGAGAAAATTCTTGACCCTACTGAGACTCAAACTCTGATCGCTTGGTCGTCCAGCCCATAGCCAGTCGCTATACTTACTACACTATCCTGGACTACATGTGAATTTGAAAAATGTGATTTTGTTTTATTGCGATCAATTAGTTTAGACCAATTTCAATTAAGAGTTCTTGCTTGCTTACAATCAGGACAGGCAGGGTGAAGGGTGAGGAGATGATTGTATGGGTTTGCAAAGGAGCACTCAGAAGAAGGAAGGGAAAGAAGATTATGTTGAGTTAAATGATTTTGTAGAACACGGCTATCGGATAAATCGAGGAACATACGTGATGGTGTACAAATACAGTCATAAAAAGCTCTGAATGGAAAGAAGTTTAAAGAAGTGTGAGACAAAGCTGTAATCTCCTACCAATATTATTCATCATATATACGAACACAACAATGCAGAAACATTGGCTGACCAGACATCTCAATTACATGAAAGTTTAACACTGAAAGTATGCCGCTTGCTGACGATCACATCCTTCTGGGCATATCTTATGATGAGTTACACTGCTTGGAATACAAGGGGGTACCCAAAAGAAACCGAACTTATTTTTTTTAAGTTATTTATTCAAATATAAATCACTCCATCCAATGTGACCTGTAAGTTTTTTACTACATGAAAACTCAACACCCTTACATGTTTCGGTCTCTGTGGACCATCTTCAGAGGGCAAACATCACTACAAATAGGAAACCACCATCACATAAGTTGTTTAGACGTAAAGTACGTACACTTATATGCTACAATACATAGTACACAAAATATATTTGTAATTGTTGGTGTGACGGACCAGAATGAAACAAATCAAACTTATTTATTCAAACTTTAAGCACGAACCTTCAATCCCCTTCAAAGTACTCTCCACTTACACTAATACACTTGTCTAGTCTTTTATTCCATTTTTCAAAACATTGTCTAAATTCATCTTTTGAGATGCTTGACAGCGCCTCCATCGTTTTTTCCTTCACCTCAGCAACATCAGCAAAACGCTTTCCTTTCATGTCTCTTTTCATTCGAGGAAACAAAAAAAAGTNAGACAGGGCTGTGTGAGCAGAGGCATTGTCATGATGGAAAAACCAGTCACCCGACTGCCACAAATCTGGCTGCTTCCGCCGCAAACTGTTGCACAATCTTTTCAAAACTTCCAAGTAGAAAGCCTGGTTAACTGTGTGACCCAGCGGAACAAACTCTGAATGGACGACTCCTCTCACATCAAAAAAACAAATCAGCATTGTTTTCATGTTTGATTTTACCTGACGAGCTTTCTTGGGGCGAGGTGAACTTGAAGTCTTCCACTGGCTTGACTGTTCCTTTGATTCAGGATCGTAAGCATAGCACCAGGTTTCCTCACCAGTGATAATTTTTGAAAAAAAAGTTTTGATCATTTCAGGACTCTTCTTTCAAAGCACAGCATGCTTCCACGCGACCTTGTTTTTGTTCAGCAGTCAGCAGTNCATAGCATCGTCCTTGTACGCCGTTTTTAACATTTCAAGAGTTTCTGTTCCACTTTTCCCGAGCAAAAGGCAGAATTTCACAGTCGCACGCTGTTCACGAAAATCAGCCATTGCAAAAACGACGATCACACAAAACAGTTGTCACTATAAACTCTGCCGAAACTAGTCCTTACCTTCTGAAGCAACGGTAGTCGGCTTATCGACTCAGGAATGTTAGCTCTATGCGCTCATTGCGGCAAAACGCGGTACTACAAAAGCTCTGCCCACAAAAAAATTAGTTCGGTTTCTTTTGGGTACCACATCGTACAATTTCAATAATATAGTTGCAGAAATTTCTACGCAGATAATACTGAAAACACTCAAATTATGGGTTGCAGAGAAACGAAATCAATTCCAACAAAGATATGCAATAACAATGGGATACTGGAACAAACTAGTAGTTTTAATTATTTGGGATATAATATAACCTACAAAGGAAAAAATGACTGAAATGACATGAACATTCTGTCAAAATATTAGGAATTATAAACCAGATCTTCAAACCATCACCAGTTAATAAGCATATAAGAACAGAAATTCATAAAACACTTGACCAACCAACATCATTTATATTACTGAGCATAAACCAAAAGAACTGAGAAGAGAAACCAGATATCGGAGCAAGAAGTTCCGGAAAGAACTAAGCACCTACTTTCCTCTGATACCACACGAACCACCCAACAATTCTTCTATTGTTACATGCATTCGTTGCTGCGGAAACATTTTTACCAAGCCGCTGCCTAGCAACACGCATACACACAGACTGATGGAAGGGATTTACGAAGTGTACCGTTGAGATGAGCTCAGATGCCATGACATATATACCAAGTTTCATAAAGAAAGTTTCAAGCATTCAAAAATTAATACAGGGGGATACACAGAAGCACAGATCTCATAAGCTTACTTCAATTTCTTCAAAATAAGGGAAGCTGCCTGAAAAATAGGTTTCATGAGGTCTGCAGCTGCACACTTTGGGACCACAAGAAAAATTAATAAATTACAAGTGAACTACATATTACACAAATACCAGAAATTATATAAGAAACTGGAAAAGACATGTTGATAGAATCAGCTGCCATGACTCAAAAAGATCTTAAAATATTAACTGAAATAAAAAAAAAGTTTTGGAAGAGCTCTGAAACAATGGAATGATTCTTTTTGTAAATTCTGTTAACAATTCATACTGAAACAGGACTCAAGCTAAAATCAAAACAGAACAAACTCGAGTTGGTGGGATCTCATATAATATATGTCAATGCTGGAATGACTTTAATGAGCTAGAACTTACAGAATTTCCTTCGGGTGATAGTCCATGACAGAGTTGTGCAAGTAGAACCTCTTGAAGTAATGGAAAGCTGTTCCAATCACTGAACGTGGCATGGGCGGGTTAAACCGACGGCAGAAATCTCTCAATTGCAACTCATACTGTCGCAATAGGAGTCTCTCATCAGCTGCACTGAGGAACGTCTGCTTGCGTTGTTCTTCCTGAAAGTGGTTATTAGTCTCTCTTTTAATTCTCTCCATAGAAGTATCTAACTATAGACTGATAAACATAGATATTCCATGTGATTAGGTAATGTATCCGTCAACACAACAAGGAAAATGGTATCGCAATTAAAATCAACATCACATAAATTGAATTTTATTGTTTACCACTATATGTTTTGGTCCCCTGGGACCATCATCAAGCAGTTTATGTAATAAATATGATAAAGTTAATTGAAATCTCAATATAGACCCATATTGTGGTGCTATAGAAAAATATTAGAAATACTACAGTATAAAAGAATTTGTACAAAATATTAGTGGAGGTAATTAATTGGTGTTGTATATTATGGATATAACATTTTATAATATGAATAAAGAGTGAGAAATTACATGAATAAAATAACTACAAGTCTTAAAAGGCATTAAAAATATTATTTATAGTTTTTATAATAGAGGTGCACTGCGCCACAATATGAATCCATATTAAGATTTCAATGACCTTTATCGTATTTATCATACACATTGCCTGACAATGGTCCCATGAGGACGGAAACATGTAGCGGTAAACAATAAACTTCAATCTATGAGATACTAATTTTAATTGTGATACCATTTTCATTGTTCTGTTGATGGATAAGTTACCTAACCATATAATTATGACACACAACAGGATGCACACTATAAAAATGGCTATTCCAAAAAAAAAGAAAACCCACAAAAACTGCCTAACACTCTGAAGCATGATATTAATCTATGCAACATTTAAAAATGAATTTCTTACTTAAAAAAACATATTGGACCTCCATTACAAACCCAACTGCTTAATGATCTATTTATTTTCGCGGTCTGTTTAATGATGCCGTCCATAGCTGAGACTATATAGTGCTGAAAGTTAAAATGACTAACAAATAAGAAATCTGAAACGTTGAGGTAGAAAGCAGTTGTGGCCTGAGGCATTTCTCTGAAGGGATACTAACAACACGTGAAACTTGTCGGGATATTTGGTGTCCCATTCGATATTTGAATGAAGGACCTCCCAAACACAAGTTGGAAGCATTATTACTCAATCAGCTTGCTTAGTGGTTAATACTGTTTAGGGAAATAATCGCTGTTTATTCAAAGTTACAATGTTACAAAGTTAAAAATTGTATGAACACATACGGTCATATTTGCTCCATGCTTCAAAACGAATTTTCTGTTTGCCTCCTGTCTTAGACGAATTAAATCTGTCTCATCAACAAATGTCCAGTATTTCTTTTGTGTGCTGACAGGAAACATTTTTAGTTCAATCACTACTGCAATGTTTGTAAACAGCTAAAAACATGCACACATATATAAACACCTTACAGACACAACCACACACCATATGCAACAGCATCAAACTAAAAAAAGCGCAGCAGTGTGGCACTACTCTGATCACTCCGATTGTGGACATCGTGCTCTTCAAGAGTCATATTGCATTTAAAAATTAAGAAACATGGCTGATTAAATGGTACTGTTAAATTTAAAAAGAACAGTTTTAAGTAAACTACATATGCTGTTATATTAAATTGTGCCAGGTATATTAAAACGACAAAGTGATATTAGGGCTAATACTTTTATCTATTGGTACAACTGCTCTTCTGTCACGTACGTTTACACATGGTGTCATCTAGGAAAGGAACTGGGCATGTCATATACAATTCATATGTAGTGTAGAGCATTAACGGGAGATGGAAGCAGGAGCTGTAATCGATAACTACCGACATCTTTGCTAAGACTTCAAAATTATTACAAGGTTCGGTTTATAGATTACCACAGATGCGACGATGTAGGGCAGTGGTTGACAAACTGTGGGGCGCGACCACCAGTGGGGGGGCGCAGCATACTTTCTTACATATAAAAATTAAAATTTCCCTAAATCAATTAGAAAAGTAACAAAAAATATTGTGACATGCTGACCCCTACCTCCCCAGCGGTACGTGGCGGTAACGTAACGCTCGCGTTCTTACGGTAATAGGCGAGTTCCCGCCCCGCCACTCCCCTCCGCGGTGACGTCACCGAGGGATATCGCGGTCGCTAGGCAACGCGAGTCAACAGCGGCGACGTTACGATAGTAACAGCGGTTACCTCCGCTAGCGTTACATAGCAACACAGCGCCAGGCAAAAAGGGTGCCTATTACGCGGCCGTTTTCCGTATGGTCCGATCGAGGCTACATGAGGCGCAGCGAAGGCTATTCAGAGAGTTGTTGTACTGAGTTGTACTGTGACAGCCGCCGAGTCGAGACGTAGAGTCAGCCAGTCAGTTGTATTCTGGCATTTGGAGTGTACTAATTGTGATACTGCAGATAGCAGTAATCGTCAGATTGTAATTTGGGTGATTGTGAGAGCGGATGTGAAATAAAATTCGCTACACCGAATACATCGAGAATTTATTTGTCGCGATATACGCCCGATACGCGACAATATATAGAAAAACATTTGATGAGTACAGGCTTTAATAACCATGAATTTCAAAATAATTAATAATTATTCTTTTTTTGCTTTTACACTCTCGATTGAACCATATGTGAGCGTTAATTCTCAGTAGTTTTCTTTTTGTATTAGTATATTGATTTACCAGTCTAGCTTGACAAGCATCTACTATTTTGAATTGTTTCATTTTTGGTCCATTACGCTATCAGTTTTTGCTTTTACACGTTCGATTGAATTAACGCTCACATATGGTTCAATAGAACGTGTAAAAGCAAAAATTGATAGTGTAACGGACCAAAAATGAAACAATTCAAAATAATTATTCTCTTTAGCGGCAATTATAAAACGCGTATGCCAGAGACAGCGTTGATAGTTTGGCAGCAGCCGCATCCTTTTGCAGGCAGCACTGTACACGCGCAGCTGAAAGCAGCGAATTGGCGCCTGTTGGGCAGGGAGCAGGCATTTTGTTGCCAGACTCAATGGTGATCGGCGGGTATGCCTGTTTGATGTTGTGTTCTTATGTACAGATGGCGCTCGTTCAATGTCTGGAGTCCGTGCTGGATTACAAGCAAAAATTAAAGCAGTTGCCCCGAAGCAGTATGGACTCACTGTATGATATATCGGGAGGCTCAGGCAGCTAAAGAACTCAGCCCACCCCTTCATGAAGCGCTGCAGACGGTTGTAGAAACCGTCATATTATCAAGACAAATCCTCTGAAGTCTAAACTTTATAAAATGCTGTGTGAGGAAATGGGTGCCGAACACACTGCTCTGTTGTTTTTGGTGATGCTGGATGGCTTTCAAGAGGCAAGGTATTAAAGAGAATGTTTGAGCTGAGGCATGAGATGTTTCTGTTTTTTAAATGGGGAAAATCACTCACTGGCAGACAGTTTCAGCAACAAGGATTTTTTATTGAAAGTGGCTTAACTTACAGATATATTTGAGAAACTAAATATCCTCAACACTCCACTTCAAGGGAGTGAGGCAACTGTACTTTCTTGGAATGACAAAGGGAAGGCATTCATGAGAAAATTAGAGCTCTGGAGAAACAGCATGGAAAGTGACACGCTAGACATGTTCCCTACTCTAGTGTCAATGGTACAAGACACTGATAATCCAGTGCTTCCAATGGACATAAAAAGCTGCATACTTGAGCATCTCATAATGTTGAAAGTTCATTTAGAGAAATACTTTAGCAATGATTTTGATAAATTTAATTGGAATAAAAATCCATTCGAAAATGCTCCTGGGCCATCATCTCTGAATGTAAAGGAGCAAGAACAACTCATCGATCTCACTAGTGATACTTCATTAAAACGTAAATTTAAGGACTTGTCTTTGTTGGAGTTCTGGATACGTATTGGCAAGGAATTCCCAACTTTGAGCCAAAAGGCATTGAAGATACTGATTCCTTTCGCAACAACTTAATATGCGAGACAGGCTTTTCTGCTTTGGCAGCTATAACGTCAAAGTATCGTTCAAGGCTAAATATTGCTAAAGCAGTTAGAGTGGCCATTTCTGATATTACACCACGTTTTGATAAACTTTGTTCTCAAAAGCAGGCCCATCCATCACACTGAACTTTGACATTTAAATGTTTGATTTTCTTTGCAGAAAAGAAGTTAATACTTGTTAGTCAAATATCGTTTCATTTTAATACATAATTTGGTTAACTGCAAGTGTTAAAACTAATTTTTATTGTAGGCTTAGTACTGTGATACTTTAATTTTGAGTAAAAATACTGCTAAATAGTATGTAGAAAAACAAAATAAACTGAATAAAACGTCAAACATGCCATGATTTCTAGTTTGATAAAAAAAAAAGAACAGGCTGGGGGCCTGAGAGTATTTTTTCTTGTCAGGGGTGCTCAGAGGTAAGAAGTTTGAGAACCACTGATGTAGGGTATAGTTTTAGTACTTAGAGCTGACAGTCCTCCGACGCAGAGCAGGAGAAGTAGTGGTAGTGGTGGGGAGAGCTCCAGCAAGCCGACAAGTGTGGCGGGGAATGCAGTACAGGCATTCTCAAAAGGAAATAACTTCTTACCTCATTGTGTTGCACAGTGTTGGTGGTTTGGTCTCGTTGACGTCCACACATCCGATGTTAAGTTTTAAGTGCCGAATGGCAGACTGTTATGCACTATACACTTTTATACACTTCTCACTGTTATATACGTGAAGAGTTTATTTACATATTACACGGGTCTATTCCAAAGGGGCAACACCGGCAATGTCCGCATAGATATCATCTCCACATGCCTGTCCTTCCTCGTCACCACCAGATGAATCGGAGCTATCATCAGAACTGTATCACTATCACCGCCAACATGGAAGACGAACTCCCACCCTGTGTCCAAAAGGCCTTCGCGTGCCATTAATTGTTGCTCAGTTTTCCTTACATGTTGGCACCTACGTTGCCATTCTTCTGCTGTTATGGAAGCCAGTTTTTGCTCTGCCAGTTTAATGACATCAACCATCTTAAATGTGGTATTGTTTTGAGCAACCCAATTTTTTTACGGTGGCCCATATTAACTCAATTGTGTTGAGTTCTGGGTGATACGGAGGGAGTCGTAAAATATTGTGACTGTAGTTACTATAGGATTCTGACGATGGTGTATAACACACTGATATGTTGGGATTTGGTTTTTAAGATAACAAATAAAAACACGACGTTTCGGAAACTGGATCTGTTTCCGTCCTCAGGTGAAGGAAAACACCTATTCAGTTGGGTCCCTTAGAAAGAGCTAGCCTCAATCACTGGACAAACCAATGTCACAAAACATGAAGATTATAAACACCTGAGACCAGGCTAAGTCCATGAGAGCTAATAAGAAAAATATTCATAGGCATAACCTAAAAGAAGGTCTTTTAGAAAAATCTAAACTAGCCCAACGTGCCTATGAAGAGGGACATAGGGTAGGCTGGGATGAAGCCAAGATTTTGGATATTGAAAGCCACATCAGGTATAGGAAATACAAGGAAGCGGCCCATATGGCATGCTCGGCCAACCCAATTAGCCAACCCAGTTTGGACTTTTCTCCCATTTGGATCCCCATTATCAGCAATGAAGTCACCAATTCACATAGAAGATCTGTATGATGTGATATATGCTTTTATTTATTTCTATTAAGTTCTAAATTAGATAGACGTGATTTACTCAATTGCTGACGCTGGTTAAACACTATTAGTTTTTGTTACTAGTTCTTCTTTCTATTCCATGCCGTGGGGTCATGGACCTGGTTATGAGTTTAGTTTCGTGGCATAAATTTCTACAGATCTTTCTCTCCTGGTTCCACGCTTGTAAGTGTTTGTTACAATTTGTTATGAATATTTTTCTTATTAGCTCTCATGGACTTAGCCTGGTCTCAGGTGTTTATAATCTTCATGTTTTGTGACATTGGTTTGTCCAGTGATTGAGGCTAGCTCTTTCTAATGGACCCAACTGAACAGGTGTTTTCCTTCACTTGAGGACGGAAACAGATCCAGTTTCCGAAACGTCGTGTTTTTATTTGTTATCTTAAGAACCAGGACGATGGATAAAGTCCAAAATCCCAACATATCAGTGTATTGTGATTGTGTTCTGCAAAGATTCCATCTATTTTATAGGAAAGGTATTTCGGTTTGAGTGGAAGATATCATGTATGTCTGGATTCCGCAATGATGAGAAATCAGTGTTATTGAAAGTAATGGGTGGAAGGTGATATTTTAGCCAGGATATCATAAAATCTCTTCTTGGATTTGAGTTAGGGGCTCTGTTTAGTTGTACATTATGGTAGAGAGCATAGTTAAAGACAAGGACAGAATTTGGGGGAAGGTTAGGAATAAGTCGCTCCTTTAACCATTTTTCATAATTGGTGTAGTTCATGACACTGTGGTAGTCTCCTGTCTTTGGTGGGATTTGAAGCGGACATAGGCATTAGGGATG